GTCTCTAGAGTAATTATGACACAAAATAAAAAATATCTTTGAGCAGAGGTAATATATTCATTTCAATAAAAGTAAGATCGAGACCATAAAAAAAAAAAGAAAAACAAAAGCTTAGATTCAGTTTAGGTTTGATTGACAACAACAGTGATGTTTCAACCAGTTATTTAAATTTAAGCTACTTTTCAACTGTTTCATATCAAGTAAAAATATAGAATTTGTTGGTTACTTGTAGTTTACTATAGTTTACTTACTACTATAGTTTACTGACTACATCTTTTTACCTATTCAGTTGGATTTATTCCTCTTTTCTTCTGCATTTCTTCTTATTGTAGGATTTCTCATTTACAACTTTTGATCAAGAAAGCCTTGTAATTTTTTAAAGAAATTGAACTATTCTCCAAATTTATACTTAATTGATACGTTCTTGGTATAGAAAAGGTTGCATCATTATAGTTACCTAATAATTTTGAAAGCACCCATTAATATCCACTCTAATCATCAGAACAAGGTAGTAATCCTGTATGCTGGATAAATTTTCAAAACCAATTTAAAACTTTATTTATTATGTGCATTGAAGAAGTATCAAATTCTGCAGCCCATGTAGGATCACTTAGTTATTACAATTCTTGTGGAGACTATTATTGCTAGATAAGCAGCAATGCTAAGCTTTATGCAAAAGTATTCAGAGCTTTATCTAGCATTTTCTGAACCACGCATTGGGTCTAGTTTGGGTAAGCGGTGTTAATTTTAGGGATGTAAATTAAATTGGTTTACAGGATGTAAACCAGCTTAAGAAAAGAAAAAACAAATAAATAAATAAATAATGAGCTCTTCCACTGATAGCAAGGTAAAAAAAAAAGAAAATAATGAAATTTAATGTCAAGATGTGATTCCCTGTTTAAATTTCAGAGGAGTGATTCTACAGAGCCAAGTGAGGTATATCCTGACAGCCTTACAAGGCTCCTGAAGCAGTTGCAGCCAAAAATGTGTCACTGAAAGATGAAGAATTTTTTTGGAGGCTATTCTGAAGGAAGTGGGAGAGGATGAGATGGAAAACCCAAAGCTTTTTTAAAATGAACATGAGGCAGAATTTCAGAAATATAGTCTCCGAAACATGACTCTTCAAGCATCTGTAGAAGTAGTGCTTCAGTGCGAAAAGCTCATATCATGGATGAAATCTTTTTCTTTCTTCTACAAGAGATGCATTTAAAAACTATAATGCCTTAACCAGCTGCTATGTTGGAAACCGTGTTTGCATTAAACAGCAATAATAGCCATAAAATACTGTATTCAGTGGGTACATGTCTGTGATTGCCTAAGAATAACAGCTTTCAAAATCTGTAAAAAACGTCAGTGTACTTCTTTTTTAAAATGTAGAATATGAGTAAATACTTCATCTTCTTCACATTTTGTTTATTAAAAAACTCTGTAAGCTTCTGTTGCTGGTCTGCTCAATGAAGATTTCTCTCTACTGGCTTTCTTTTCTGTGAAGTGATCACTAGACAGGAAAACAATATTCAGGAAATACCACCTTCTTATTATGATAGGCTGTGTCTTGCAGTGCTAGCACCATGCAACAGGAGAGATTTTGAGTCAGCACGTTCCCCACTTACTTTTATTTGAGACACATTATCTGAACATGTTGAGTGTAAGATACCTAGCTCATTTTTTTATGTTACAAATAACAGTTACCATTATCTTAGGTGATTGCTATTTTGAAGATGTAGAGATCCACATAATAAGAAAAGGGATCATTTAAGACTTTTTCTGCTGCTGCAGTGATATCTCTAAACCAAATTCTTAGGAGAGTTGTAGAATTTCTGAAAGCAGATACACTGTAGCTACTGATTTTGTTACTGCACTTTGGAGACTGAGACCATGAAAGAAATGCGAAATTCTTTGGAATTTATGTTTGTACTGGTGAAATATTTTAAGCAATATTTCCAGCTAGACAACTTCAATGTTCTTGTTAAAAGAAGTGTTAGAATTTGGAATTTTAGGATTGAACATGGGTTGTACCAAATCTATTAAAAGCACAGTCATTGTATGGAAATTGGAATAACTACTGATTTGTTTCATTTTTTTCAGAAGCCACATTTTTCGTTATAATCTTACTTTCTCCAGAAGGCCATTTCAGAAGCCAGAAATCTGTCTTGTGCTAATACAGAATGTATGCTTTGAAAAATCCTTTTTTTATTGGCAATGAATCTTGAGGTGTAGAATGCTACTTAAAAAAATAAGTCAATAGTTGAAGCCCTTGGAATAGGTCCCCCGTTGTAGGTAATCACCCATAGTTAAATGCACGTGAAATTAGAACAACGGCTCAATTTTTCTTTTGTAATCAGTGATTAAAACGTAATTCTGTGCACTGAAAAGGCAAGAAAATGTAAAATGATAAGGATTGCAATGTGAATCAATTCCTCTTAGACTTAGAAATTAATCAGTTTATCACCAATACAAAACTCCAATCTGCTTTCATCCAATCTGTTTTCATCCATTTCCTCTTGTCATTTTGCAGCTTATATAACGTCAGAGTGTGACTTTGATCCTTTACTAACATTTCTAAATAGAAAACAATAAAAATAATAATAGATTCATCAGGTTAAATATTACTACATAAAAAATAACAGGTTTCTTTCCTAGAAAAGTGTCCTGATTCATTAGCTGTATTCATTATATGAAGCAAACAACAGAGGACCTAATCCTTCAATGAACTGCACTTGGGACATTTTATGTGCACACTTCCAAATTAAGACAAAATTCATCAACTTTTCAATTTATACTCTTAGCATAGCAGCATGTTAATTGTTATGAAGTTTTTGGTAGTGGCAGTGTGAGTGTACTTTCGTGAGATGATTTCATTCATGTTCGTAAATTAAAATTCTCATTGGGCACAGGATGGGTCGGTTACAAACTTTCTGAGGCATCTTAAAATATTAATTCACAAAAGAGGGAGAGATTCTGCAGGGACCAATCCTTGGACCAGTGCATCCAGTATTTTTTAACCACTTAAAATAAATATAAGGAAAGACGTTGACCTTTAACCCTTGCAGGCAGCTAAGCACTACCAGCCACTTACTTACTCTCCCAAATGTGCTGGAGTATCAGAAAGGTAGCATGGGCTGAGGGAAAAAAAAATAATAATAAAAAAAAATAATAATAATTAAAAAAAAAAAACAGTTCAAAAGGTAAAGGAAAAGCAAAAACAAAGCCATAAACTTTATATTTGCAGGAAAAAACACACCTATATTACACCCTATGGAGAAGCATTATGTTCATGTGCCTTCCTTACCTACCCTAGGATAATTCCCAATTGCTTAACTTGTCCCTTTTTGGAGAAGTTGGTATGGATTCATGAGTTAGAATAATTTGTAAAATTTTTTATCTCTTGTGATTGAGATCGTAAGAAACAAAGAGGAATGATCCTTAAGTCCACGCTCTTTTAGGAAGAAAGTTAGGAATTTCTGAAATACTTAATTACACATTTCAAGCTATTTACTAGATAGTTGCAGTATGCACATTATGTATAGGGCTTCTTTGAATGTGATATCTCCTATTTTATTACGCTGGCCTACAGCATCAGAGGGGGGGGGGGTGGTGGTATGACAGTAGAGGTTGAACTTTCCTACTAATATTCCATTGCATCCAATTTTGCTGTGTAACAGATGGCAGAAGAGAGGTAGTCTGACCAAATGGTGTCTGATGTGGAAGTGCGTGTGAAACAAAGAAGTGTCATTAAATTCCTCCATGGGGAAAAAAATGGCACCTGCTGACATCCATTGATGCTTCCTGAATGTTTATGGAAACCAAACAGTGGATGTGAGCACTGTGAGACAGTGGGTGGTATGTTTCAACAGTGGGACACCTCCGCTGGTGTAGATTTTTACAAGTGCAGCCTCCAGGCTATTTTTCATGGTAGGCATAAATACAAAGCTAATGGTGGTGACTATGTTGAAAAATAGTCTCTTCTTAGGTCTATTCTATTCATGACATTCTTTTTGTTCTCCATTAACACGTTTTGCTGCGCAGATGCATAGAAATTTACATACACTCTAGGATGTTACTTATGAAACTTGTGCTGTCCAGTTAGCCAAGCACATGTCAAATGAATGAGGTGCATCAAATTGCAGCAGTTTCAGTACAGACACGTAAGCCTAAAACTGATTATTGGCATTCTTTTCTTGAATTCTGAAATAAAAGCAAATAAAGGAGTTTTTAAAGATATCTCTATTGTAAATTTAGTTCTTCAATTGTAATTCTCACATTATTTTCTTTGCCTTTCACTTATGTGTAATTGAAGAAGTGGTGGAGACTGTAATTTGTACTTAGCATTAACACAAAATTATGTTCTATAAAACATAGAAGAAAGATTTTTCTGATGAACTCTACAGTCTTCTGCATGATTAATAAAAGCAATCAGATTATAAAAGGCATATTAGCATCAAGCTCCTTATTTGTTATAAGGAATTATCCATCCAGTTAGAAATGCACCAAGCACCATTTTCAAGGCTTTGCAAATACTGGCTGGTGGTCACAGTATGGAGCTCTGCAATTGTTAATGGACTTGATAAGAAGTTAAAAATTTCATTTAACTGGAAACATTTTAAGCTTCTGATTAGAATTGACATGCCATTCTTTAGATGGATTTGAATTGTGATCCAGGAGGTAAACTGTCAGTGGTTGATTAATCTGGTTATCCCACTGTTAGGAATTTTTTTTCATTTAGAAATATTCTTCACGTTCTAAAAATAAGATTTTTGTGCTGCTGAGAATAACCAAGCTAACATGTAATAAATTTTAGCGAAAAGGGCTATACACATTAATGCAGTTTCTAGCCTGCTTGATTAAAAATAATTTCCTTAAGGGAAATAATGCCACACTGGCCTGTTTTAGTAAAAGCACTTTTTTTTTTTTTTTTTTTTTTTTTTTTTTTTAATAATTAAGGAAAAATGGATGTAAGCAATCAAATTTAATCTGTTCAATCTTTCTGTTTCTTTCAGCATTAAGAACGTCACTCCAAAAGTAGGTGATGCTGAAACCCGTAAAGCCATTCGCCGTGCCTTTGATGTGTGGCAGAATGTAACTCCTCTAACATTTGAAGAAGTTCCGTATATTGAATTAGAAAATGGCAAGAGAGACGTGGATATTACGATCATTTTTGCATCAGGTTTTCATGGAGACAGTTCTCCCTTTGATGGGGAGGGAGGATTTTTGGCCCACGCATATTTCCCTGGGCCAGGAATTGGGGGAGACACTCATTTTGACTCAGATGAACCATGGACTTTGGGAAATCCTAATCATGATGGTAAGAGAAAATTTCAGTTTAAACAAAATAAATAAGATTAATTAAAATGTGTCATGAATTTACAGCTATTTCCACGCTTCCCTATACTTAAAGTCACTTAGTTTCCTAAGTTCACAGTTCTTTTGTAATCTCTTCAGTTAATTGATCTGTTAGGGATCTTCAACAAAAAGTTTGTCTAAAAGTAACTTAGAGTGTGAGAAAGTGTTTTCTTGAAGCACATTAAACTCTCATTAGGAACATTTATGTTCATTCAACCATTGTACTGTTGAATGTTTACATTACTCCCTTCCTTTCTAATTTCTTTGCCATAAGTGTTTTATTTAGGTTTAGGGAAAATTGAATGTTCATTAGAAGTAATATAAGAGTGGTTAAAAGCAGCTGAGACTACTCACCAATACAGTGGATACCTATGTGTAAGAAACCTAATCTGTTTTTCTTAATGGTGATGAAATGGCAGCATTTTAAGTTAGCTCTTAAGAGTGCTATTCCAAGAACTGAACTAATGTTTCCCAATTTTGAATCTTATTTGGAACTCATGATTCCTTATTTAAGTTGTACATTCCTTAAGTCATATAAGTGACTATGCAATGCAGTAGACAAACAATCTGGTTTTTGCTGAGCTCTAAGTTCATATGACTAAATTACTTCCATTATCTAAGAAGCCTAATTTAAAATTGACTGTTGCATATTTGCAGAAGAGTATCAAAAAAGTATTTTTGTGTAGACATTCTGTGTTCACTGTTTTGGCTCCAGCTGTACTAGTAGATCTCTCCATCTCAGTTACACAGCTGTAGAGTCTTTTCAGCAAACAGTGTTGCACAGAAGAGGATGCACTGATACATAAACAAGATGTTACTGATGCACAAAAGATTACAAAGATAACAACGAAATGCAAAAATGTTGTATTTGAATGTTAAACCCATCCTGTGAACAGTCAGAGGTTTTATCTAACAAGTTTGTCACTTAAGATCTTCTAAGACAAATTCATAGTTTTCTGTGTACCTAGCTTTTGTAGCCTGGTGTTTGCAGCAAAGCGTTAAATGAATATTTCAGGGATATTTTGACTGTTCTGATGGTGCAATACTTCTACTGCACAAGGGACAGTGAGGAAAGAGCAGCTCACTGTACTATGAAGGTCTTTAGTAGGAGAATGGGTTCAAGAAGCTTATCTCCTGTGGACTGAACCCTAGATTCTTTTGGAGCAAAATGTAGTCCACTGCTCATATTTGCTCATATTTGCCCTCCACACGTTCAGCTCAGAGAAACAACAGTGAGAGTCTGCTGTTTGTGCAGTTCAATTACATTGTGAGTCTCTGCATTGTGAGGTTAAATCAAGGTGTTTTTATGGGCTTAGTGGGAAACAAATGCTGCAGATAATGTTCTTTGTTTCTAGAACTATTTCTTAAAGCACTACAGATATTTGTATTTTGAAGACAAGATGTCAGTGTAAAATGTGATAACACTTTTGGAGCATTTCCACATATGGATACTTTTAGTGTGTATTAAAATGTGTGATCTTCTAGCTATCTTCTTCTGTTTCTTAAATAATCTTCAGAATGCAAAAGGACACATTTTTTATTGTATCTTTTTGTGGTTGTCTTTTGTACAGCCGTTGTCAAAAGCTATTTCTTGTATTTTATTTATTGTAAAACATCTAGAATGAAAACTTTAAGTGACAACAAAATGGTGCTATTTCTAAAAATGTTTTTTTAGATATCTTAGGATGTTGGCCTTTTATAAGGAAAAAGTTTTCTTGTCTGTGTCATGAAGAGTTATCAGAAAAAAAACTATTTTCCAGTTTTAATAACTTCTACCTTTATGTGTTCTTATGTACTTTTATGAGGAAGAGTTAATCCTATTGGAATCTGTCGTCAAGATAGAGAACCCAAGATAGTTTATGACTGCAGAATATCTGCAAAATGAATGAAAATTAAAATAAATATCTTACCAATGTGAGTTTTCCAAGGAATTTTGGCAAATCCTAGTTTCATTGTAGATATCATATGTATTACAAATCTTTGGTCACAGCTATTGTCAAAACAAAAGCACTGTGTGATTGACACCCTAGAAATAACAACATATGTGTAGTTGATTTGTATGGTCAGAGTTCCTGTGTCTCTATGACTTCCAGTTATCAGGTAGGCCAATGACAATTTTACTGTATTAGCTTAGGTCTAGGAATCCTGAAGGAATGTCCACTTTTTTATTTTTTTTGGTGACTGGAAACAATTTCCAAGTGGAAAAAGAAGACAAGCATTCCATTGGGGATTGACAGGAACTCTCTACCATCTTGAGCTCAGTCTAAGAGCACTGAAAAGCTGAAGGTTGAAAAATCTATTTCTGATCTTAGCCATGAGTCATTTTTCCCAGGTGAGTGTCTTTTTTTTAAGATTCATTGCTGCAGTAGTCCACCAATAGTCATCTTTGTGTGGTATTGTTAAATATCAAACAGAAGAATAAAAAGTTTTAGCAATAAATTTTTGTTTTTATTTTTCAAATTAAATATCACCTGAAAGCAATGATTTTCTCAGATTTCTATTTAATTAGATTATCTATTTAATTTCTACTTTAATTAAACTGGAGTAATTTGAAAACTCAAATCAGCCCAGTTACTAAGAAGCAAAATGCAAATCGTAGATCCTGTTGAAAAGTACTTTCCTGACTTTTCACCTTTTACTGTTCTGCTAATGAAAATACCTATTGTCTACTTCAGAAAAGACAGCCAGCTCCTTGAAATGCTTCCATAACCTGTTTTAACTTTTATAAAAGTTTTCATAACATTTTTTTCTATTGAATGAGCACTAAACCAAGAAGAAAATAAGGAATGATATACAAATTCAGTATTCTGAGTTACTGTTCAGAAATTTAGTATTCCTAAGTTACTTTACATTGACTAGCTAATTACAGTGACCTCATGCTCTAGGTATTTTGTTGTTCCTGTTATCATTGTTGTTGTTATTGCTCTCATCATGTTTTCTTGATTTTATTGGTTTTTACTTCTCTTAAATAATTTTCCAGACTGATAGATCATTTTCAACTGTTACACTTCATCTCTGCAGCTCAGTGCTACTTTCCTTTGCTTATTTAGGGACATGTTTTTCTTTATGGTTTGCAGATTTCTAATCAAAAGTTCTAAGGAAGTGGGAAAGAAGTCTGTACTTTGACTCCTCCCTCATTCTGAAGAGTGTAGAAATGTAGATTTGTAGTAGTCTAATAGGCCTACTGGTCAGAAATAGCACTCCTATTACAGAAATTAATGCTTTGCTTTCAGGATTAGTTGAATACAGCTGGTGCCTTACTTCTAACTGAGCTACAGCAACTCTTCCCTGAACTTCCTTCCATAGCACCTCTGGTGATGGCAGAAATACTGGTCAGAAAGGAGAATGAGAAATTTGCAACCACAGGAAAGCAGTGTAAGCAAGGACAGAATCTCTTTTGATAGGAAAGAAGTATTTATTAAGAAAAAAACTTTCTTTTATTTTGAATATAAGCACTGGAAAGGAAAAGAAAGGGAACAAAAGAAAAAGGAAGACATATTAATATATTAATTTAAAGGCAAGAGAGACATTACATTGCCCTCATGACTTCTGTCAATTTAGGTGCTATACATACGTAACCCTTATTTTTGAAACAAACAAACAAAAAATTATTTGCAATTAATGATGTATCCAAATGTAGAAAAGGACAATGACCTCTCGCTGCTATATGGGAGATAAGGTATATTCAAAATCATTAACAGCAATCTTTTTCTAAGTATATTTTTAATTGTAAAAGTTTCAAATCACTGTATGTAAATTGAAAATCACAAGTAGTGGCAGGAGGAGGAGGGGACTGTCTCTACTGCTAGTGAAAAGTCCCTCTACTATGCTTTGTTTCCCCAAAGCTGATGGTAATAAATCCTGTTGGCTTTAACAAGGCTGTCCTCCAAGTTGTCTTCATCTTGCCAATATTAAATATTGAGAATGTAATTTTTTTTATTCGCTGCAATATAATTTGAAGTTGAAGTGTTAGATCCTAGTTAGATTTCTGGACTATCACTGTGTAGTTGTGAAGTCTCAGAACCAGTAACATTTTCTGCTCCTACTCTCCAAAGTACTGCAGCACGATAGACCATATACATTTCCAAGGTCTTATAAATAAGATGCTTTCCCCTATCCTAAGAAAAGTAATTATATTTTTCTACTTATATTCTTTGCATTTTGCTTTATTTTAAGCAGCATTCTTTATAAATCTGAGCAAATTTTAAATAATGTCTGAGGAGCTTAGCCATTTGCTACTGGAGAAAAAAAAGGACAACGTATTTCAACAATACAGTTATGAATAGGACTTATCTTGCAGGTCTGCCTTGTTAGTAATACATAGTAATAGAATAAAAAATGTATAGGCAAGTTTTCCTATGTTTATTTCAAAGATGCAAATTAAAAAGAAAACAAATACACACATTTTATAGTACTCACTAGATTTGATTGGATTGCCTCATTCCAATGAGTGAAGGTTGCTTATGATTCCATGATAAAACTGTTGAGAAAGAGATGAGTCAACATCTGTTCTAAGAGTTCCTCATAATCCTTGGCAGCCCCAACCCATCAAAGGTTTCTAATTAAAAACTGTGCTCAGAATCTTCATTTGGCTGGTAGTGACAGGAAATTTCATTTCTTCACCTGAGAGTATTTGAAAACATTTTTGCTATCTGTCGGAAGGTAAAAGGCTCTAACTTAAGGCATACGCACCTGCTTCTACTTCAAAAATTGCATTGGTGTATGAAAATTGATCTCAGATTGTCTTGCTAAATGCACTTAAGCTCTTTTTTAAAGCAGTTATATTTTTTTCTGGAAAGTACTGAATGAATCTAAACCTATTTAAAGGGAGTGTTAAACCAGTTTGAATAGAGAACACAGTACTTCTAACTAGATTAATTTAAGATTGACCTACTTACACATGTGTAGCTTTTTAAAACAGAGCGAGACTTAGAAATAGCTCTTGGGGAAAACAAGGATGTC